TACTGTGCCCATGGATCATGGTGTGTAGCTTACCTCTTCGAGGGTAGTCTGACTCACTAGGAAATTTGTGATATTTAAAGCAGTCTTGTTGGTTTCCAGCAGATCAAAAATGTTTGCTACTCCTCCTGCCGTGACTGGTACATGATACTCTAGCATGCTGAGGTGCTGATCCTGTGGGGAACAAAGGGGAACAAAATATATTTTGCAATGCCAGATAATAGTGACTTGATTAGACACACTTGAGCAAGCGCCAAGAAAAATACTGACATTCATCCCACTGAAAATGATACGGCCATGTAAATAATGGGTATGTTTTGAAACTAACAGCTTGCAAAGATGAGATGAAAAGTTGTATGAATGTCAGAGAGAAAACAAATTAAAAAACTAATGAAAATTCCGAAGTCTTCTACACTCTTGTGCACTTATAAAGTCATTATAGTCTTGCCTGGAAAAAAATGTTGTGAAATGATATTTCAGATGTCCTATTATGCTTAGATTATGCTCAGCTCACATAAGCATTTTCAGAAATCGCTGCAAGAAATTTTATTTTTTTTAATGTTAAAATTATTCTAAAAGGCCATGGTGGGGGGGGGGTAGCTGCTCAATTTATATTGGTTAAAAAGACTAGGTTTCAAGAGCATTGTCCAGGAAAAGACTCATTCAAAAAACGCCATGTTTTTTCACAACTCACCCTAAAATTATCTCCAGTTTCCTTCTGTGAGTCCATAGTATTACCATCCACTTCGTAATCTATACTCATGTCCTTGGAATATCTTTAACACCCTCCTTTTCTGCATATTTAATCAGTTATCACATCCTATTTTTTTCCTCTAATATAGTTCTCAAATCTAACCTTCCCTCTCTATTTGCACTATCAATATCATTAACCTGAGACTCATTATTCCACATCTGAGTTACTGCAACAGCCTCTTCAGAAGCCTAGAAACTATATACGCTCATATATTTTGTCACAAAGCAGCTAGAAGAGTCTTTCCCAAATACTAGTTTCATCAGGATGTTTGCCCCAGAATCAATCCCTTGAGCCTATACGGATCAGATCAAGGCTATGTATTTCAGCCAGTATTCAAGACTTCCGTTACTGGAAAGCCCTCTTCTCATACCTTTGCTCACTGCCTAGCCCCTTTCTTGTGTTTGCATCTCACCTGTCACTGCAATCAGGTCGTCTTACTTATTTTACTTCCAAATTGTTCTTGCTATTCCCCTTCTACAGATCTAGAAACCATCACATACTTATAAAGAATGGTCTGTTTAGGAAGAAATAAGGCTTATCATCATGGCATTTGTCTAGTATAACCCTGGTCCTAGAGGAGCAGGCCAGGGCGAATGTAGTCTTATCACTCAGTGAGTAAGCATGGATTTCAACCCAGAAATTCACTGAAGGGAAAAGTGCTATGACCAACATGATTTGTGTAAAGAAAATGACCATTAATTTTTAAATTTGATTTTAATTTAGGTGCTAGAAAATGGACTTTGATAAAAATCATAAAAGCTATTATTTCATGGAGAAGTTAGCCAAAGTTTGGGAGGTTGAGGCAAACTATTTTGTAGGGATAAAACAATTGTTTATAAAAATGCACTTTATTTTGCTCTCTACAATCACTTCATGTTCATATGGTGCCTTATAGTTTAGGAAATATCATTGTGGACACTTTCTCATTCATTTCCCACACCAATCTTGTAAAGTAGGTGTCATTATTCCTATTTTACAAATGAGAAAAATGAGGCTCAGAGACTTTCAATGCCTTGCTGGAAATCACACAGGGAGAGCTAGACCTTAGCCCAAGACTTTCAATCTCTTTTCACCATTCTACACATGATTTCCTTTTAAAAACAATCATTTGCTATAATCACCTTGTACAAATTATTTGTATATCAAAGATGTTATATAATGATAATATTTTTTTAGTCAAGTCCATTTACTTTAAATATGTATTATGTGAGCCAAATAGGCATGTATCTGTATGTGTATTAAAGCATCTGTATTAATTTAATTTTAATTTGTTTGTATGATATGGATGCATCTACATTCTGTAGATATGCATAAGTAAGATGAAATTAATTGAACAATGTTTCAACTAGTGTGAGTCTAAGAACTTGATTTTCATGCCGTTCTGCTCAAACCTTTGTGGGTTTACCTTCTAAATTAGGAGAGTACAGGAGATAATCCCTAATGGTTGTGACATTCTGGAACTCTGTTTTTTTTCTAAGAAGAAATGCACTTGGTCATATAATATTTGTCCTCCTGTTTTCCCTAAGTATATAACTAAGTATATCCCTAAGTAAACTAGTTATGGATACAACTCAAAAACTAATACAGTATGGTCATAAAGCCTTTGTGAAAAAGAAATAAACAAAGGTATGCACAAAGACTATGTTACTTTTTTAAATAGTTACAAAAATATAATTTTGCAATGATATGTGAAGATATTTGAAGATTCTATTTGAAGAATAGAATAATTTGAAGGTTCTGTTTGTTCATACTAAGTGTGTTTCAGAGTATCTTAAACTAACAAGTATATTAAGATTAAAAATAAAGCTCTGGTCAACTTGAAAATGGCAAACATCCACTATGATATCGGACTGTCAAAACCAGTCAAGATTCAAAAGGCAGGATACTCTCTTACTTTTAAGTATGTTTTTGGAAAGTGCAGCTGCATGAACCTTGTGAGGGCCTCCATGCTAACTCTGGTATTCTTCACGTGAACCTTAACGGTAAACCCTCGTCCAAACCTAGAAAGAAAAAGCAGAAAATATGATGTGAATTACATTTTGCTGAAATAGCTCCCCTGGAATTCTAGATAATGAAACAGGACCCAAGCTGACCATTACAGCCCCTTTTCTTCTATAAAGACTCTCATTTTGCCATAAAAGTTCAGGGCATGTTGCAAACTGGAAATAGTGCACTGCCATGGTTTTCAAAAAATTTACTTCTGCCACTATACAAAGTCAGGCTCTTTGGACGAAAGCTGCATTAGGAAGAAAACATAAAATCTTGGCTTTCTTTGACATCCATGAATTGGCAATTGATGTCAATTTCTGGGGTTAAATACTTTCTAATTTAAAGCAAACAAGGTCTTGAGAGGCAAGTCAGTGGAGATTTGGAGTCCACAGTAAAGACTAATATCACTGAGGTTTTAAACATAAACTAGCTAACTGTTAGCACCAAGCGTAGAGTTTGTAAACAAGTCACAACAGACTCTGGGAATAACACATAAGGCCTCTTTCATCCTTTTTGCTTATCTTGGTTAACACTATCTCATAAGAAAGCCAAGTTGTACACATAAAGGTATAACATCATAAAGTTTGGAGATTAAATACACACACACACACACACACACACACACATGCATTCTAGCAAATGTAAAACATTAATTTAATTTTAATTTCTTAGTATGATATTTATGCACATTTCCCCAATGTATTCTTGACTAAACGGTTTTGAATGTGGTAAAAATATCACACGGCTTCCTGAATGCCTGTGCAAATGGCAAATGAGCATGTTAGATAAAAATCCATGCCTTCACGTACCTGTCAAGGCCTACTTTGTTATTGAGTAAAACACCTGAAACTGCTTCCTGAGGGTGTTTTGGTTGTGGACTAATTTTTTAAAAGCTTTTAGGCCTTGTAGGTTTTGGTGTTATTAACTAAAAATACATGCAACCCTCGCTAAGATAATTTATCTTTAAGATGAGCTAATGATTCACTTTTCCATTCCATTTTCACTACTAATTGAAGAATAGGCTCCTGAGATAATCCTTGAAGGTGAGTATAGTAGCTTTAGACTGATTATCCTACACTCTATGTTAAACTGTGCATTTGTTTTTTTTACCTGCTCTTTATATGCTGCAGAGATCCAATACACTGGAACCTTCCGTTCACCATAATTGCCAGCCTGGTACAGAGTGCTTCACATTCTTCCATGCTGAAAGAGCAGAAGCATATCAGAATTCTGGTCACAGAAAACTGGGCTTAAGTTCATGCACATAAGCTTAACTGTCCCATTATGGCACCTTAAAAATACTGTTTTAGATCCTTAAAATGGCTTTTCCCTTGAAGAACAACAACAGAAAATTAATATACATTAAATGTCTTCATAACGGGTTTACTACTATTTATTCTCAAACTTGAGGCCATCTCTCTCAGCTGGAATGCCCTTTCTATCAAACACATTATTTCTTTCAAGTTCCTTCAAGCTTTGACTTAAGACCTATATTGCCTAAGAAATGTTCCCAAAATAATGCTGAGCTTTTTTTTTTCATTATCCTTCATACTCTGTATTCAGTTAGCTTTTCTGTTTTTGTATTTGTAACTAATTAACCTGTACTTGCTTATGTAATTTCTAATTTCATGGAGTGTGATAACTGAAGCAGATCTTAAGTATCACCCTGTCCACTTCATACAAAACTTCACGGAAATTAACTAATTGGCTCCTGAAAATATAGTGTACTGGAGCAAAGCTAGGATAGAAACAAGTCTCTTACCCTAAACAAATTTAGTACTTTCCTACTGTATGATAATTACCACAAGGCCAACCTTATAAGAAAGGCATGTGTAAAATGCTTCAGTGGTTGTATACTTAACTAATTAGAAGGGCTTACTTCATGAAGGAGTCCTGTGAGCTGGTTCTTAAAGGACCAGTAAGATCAGAACTTGGAGAGATTTTGTGAAAAGACCATTCCCAGTGGAAAGCACAGCCAAAGAAAGGGCACAGTGACAGGAAAAATAAAGGAGTGCATGTGGAATCACAAGTCCTTCAGATTGACTGATAGGAGAGGGTGGCATAGGAAAAACAGGCTAGAAATTCAGATGAGGCCAGATCATAAAAGGCCTTGTATACTAAGCTGAAAAATGCTGAACTTTATGTGATAGGCAATGCGGAGTTGTAGTTGAGTTAAGAGGATCAGAAATCATAAGATATTTGTTTTTAAAAAGATTGCTTAGGCCTTATCCCACCTCAGGAGCTGGATTCTCACCATGAAACCTGCCTGACTTGCTCCTAAGACTATAAAGATAAATTTCTTTACCAAATTGTGGAATCCATTATCAACACAAATACACGGGATTCTCTTTTCCCACCTATCTATCCCCAAATTAGGTCGGTTGACCTTAAAGTTCTTGCACACAGTTTACCTGTGAGATGTGAGGATGACAGAACATTTATGCTGTACTTCCTCCGAAATGATCTTCCAGAGGTGCCGTTTTGACTTGGGATCCATCCCAGAGCTCGGCTCATCCTTAATAGAAAGTTACAAGGAAAATTTATCAAATTAATTAATTTTTGATGGGGTTCTTTACATGAATCACTACATCTCACTTGCCTAGAACAGAAATCACCTGGCGAAGTCCTGTGACTAACTTGTTTTATACTTAATAGGCTCCTTTCTGCTGCTGTCAAAAAGCTCAAAATTAATCATTTAAAATTGTCGATCTGTTTTAAAAAGTGACTCATTGAAGTTGACACCCTGTTACTTTATACTCGTCACTTATATTTCTTCAGGAAAAAAATTCTCCTTCAGTCACTGACATAGCAGAGTTTTTACATTTAATACTACACTGTCGCTTATATACTTGAAGCTACAGCTATAAGATCGCTGCCTTGCTGATGGCACAATCGTGCCTCTGAGTGATAACAGGCTATGCGAAGTGGAAAGAACACAATTTGATTTTTCGGTTAATGTATTTGAGGTGTATTTTTAGTTTCATGTTCTTAATTGAAATTTAATACTCCCTGGGGAAATAAGATTTGCAGAAACTGCCAAGGAGAAAGATAGAAATTATATTTTAAAAGTAAATGATATTTCAAAAAATTGTTCAGACATAAAATTAGAACTGTAGCAATGTATAATCTAAACAAGCAATAATAGGTCCTGAGAGATGATTAAACAAACAAATGATAGGTCAAGGGTAGGCAAAAAATTAAAATTATACATCTGTAATGGAAAGGATGTACACAGATAGGATCACCAGAGGCTTGTTTTTATAATGAGGGGTTAAATTTAAAGAAAGGAAGTGTTAATTTGGGGAAACAGTGAAGGATGTATTGTCACTGCTCCTATTTTGGAAGATGATAGCATATATATATATATATATATATATATATATATATATAAATGCATATAGCAGAAAATAAGTGCCTTTGTTTCATAGACTGTACTTCCGGTAGGCTCGTTCATACATAACATTTACATGGCGCTTTTAACTTTTTAAACTACTTTACATCTATTATCTCACAGGGGTGCCTCAGGATTGTTTTGTTCAATTTAAGGGACACTTACACAATAGAATCCCATTAAAAGCATTGATTGGCAGGGATACAGTGCATTCTAAGCTTCTGGTATTATAGAAAGATGGGCTGTGCATCACTCTGGGCAATTTACATAAATAGATTCTCTACATAACTTAAACCCTGGAATAATGTGGTGATTTATAAGTGGATATTTATTGCATATAGTTAAGGTTCTTTTGGAGTTTGAAGGTACTTAAATGAAGAGGATCTTCCAAAACAAGAGCAAGCTTATTTCTCTGAAATAAACACTTTTTACAATGTTTGGTCTGGGGAGCAGACTGCTATGTTACCCCTGTGAATAATGTACATTTCCAGGTGATCTGTTTAATTTTCCAGCTCATAATAAAAATATTAATGTTGAATGCATTTTTTTTTGCTTTCAAAAATTTCAGATAAAATAGAATGGCATATTATCGATCATATCCCAATGTAGGTAATTCATATTTTTAAGTAACAGGGAAATAGAGTTTTAGCACAACACATTGTCTTAAATTGTGTCTTTCCTCCTTTCCAGAAGTTTAAAAATATGTTAGTTCACCTGGTCAGGTGCTCCTAGAACTTATCTCTTCAATAACTGGGAATCAAATTCTACCATATTCTATAATTTTACTTATTCTTTTGTATACCCTGAATTTATTCCAGCTCCTTCCCATTCCCATGCCAAGTGTATCCCCTGAAACTGACTGCAACACAGCTTCAGACAAAAACATTGTTGAGGGCAGACTGTTGTGGCCACAAATTATTTGCTGATATAAATTCCCTGAATGAGATGGTACAGGTAAAGTGCTTTGTGAAATAACCAACACACAGCAATGGTTTGTTCCAATAACGAGAATGAATGTCACACACACACAGTTGGATGGGTGGTTCTAAGTATGCGATAGCCTTTTCTACAACGATGTGCTTACCAGCAGCAGAATGGAAGGCTTCCCTATCAGGGCCAGTGCAGTGGACAGTTTTCTTTTTGTGCCATAGCTGCACAAAGAGGTGGCCCTGTCTTTGTAGGGCATCAGATGGAGTCTTCGCAGGAGCTTATAAACAGTCTGTGGGTAGAAAAGAGGAGTTGGGTTGACCACTGGCTAAAACCCTTAAAGCACTAAACGGAAAAAAAGCTGTTTGTGAAAACAAAGTTTCATAATGAGGAAATACATACCTGGAACATTCAACTATTTACACTCAACATAGATTTTATTTTTATTTTCAAAGGTCCACTTCAAAATGAATAATCATGTAAGAGATAAAATCAATTTCATAGAGGCTCATTTTCAAGTGGGATTTTTTCACCCAAAAAAATGTGTGTGTGTGTGTTTACGACCGCAGATTGTTCTTTCTGTTACATCAACGCAGAGCGTCCCTATAAAGCTTAAAAGAGCTAAAAGAGAAATCAGCCCTTCTCAAAGCACAGCTCTCATTAATGGTTGTCACTGTTTCACCCTTTACTTTACTGAGGGGTGAGTTATCACAAAGTCTTTTAGTCTTTTTAAAACTGACCCAGTATCAAAACTTTAGTATATCAACTGAGGAATCATGGTTGCTTGTGGCTATTTCTGTAGTTAAATACTCCCGGCAAATTGTGGAATCCTAAAATTTCAATAGATCTTTAGGATTGCAAAAATAGAGGAAACCACCCTAAGGGTTAACCATTCCATTACAAAGGCAAATAATTGCAGTGATGTACAAAACCACAGTAAAAAAAAAAAAAATTAAATTGGAAGCTATTCTATTTTACTTAGACATTTTGTAGGTAATTCCATGTTTCAATACTTATCTGAACACTAAAGGATGTTCAGATACTACCAACCAATGCTCAACCCAAAGCCAAGGCAAGTGTGATTTTTTTTTATAGTTATTTTATTTATTTATTTATTTATTTATTTATTTATTTTCAGTTTTAGTTTCAGGTGTACAAAACAACATAGTGATTAGACATTTATACCTCTCACAAAGTGATAACCCCACAAGACTACTACCCATCTGACACTGTACACAGCAATTACAATACCATTGACTATATTCCCTATGCTGTACTTTTCCTCCTGTGACTATATATAATTTTAAAAATTATAGTTGACATTCAATATTATTTTATATTAGTTTCAGGTGATTGCAAATTTATGCAGCCACTATGGAAAATGGTAGGGAGTTTACTTTAAAAATTAAAAATAGAACTACCTTGTGACCCAGCAATTCCACTCCTGGATATTTACCCAAAGAAATCCAAAACACTAATACAAAGATATATGCGCCTCTATGTTCATTGCAGCACTATTACAAATAGCCAAAACATGGAAGCAAGCCAAGTGCCCACAGATGAGTGGCTAAACAAATTGTGGTACATATTTGAGAGTTTTTGAAAAGTAACTGAATAGACAACCTGTCAAGGAGCTTCTAAATCTGAGTTTATATGCGTGTATATGATACACACAATCAAGCTTATACTGTATCCATTGTCAGGAAGAAAATGTCATGGTTTTCTAGATGTCAACTTGGTCTTGAGGTTGGATGGTTAGGAAGCAGAAACAATAATGTTTTTTGGTTTTTCAATTACTGTTGACATTCAATATTACTTTATATTCATTTTAGGTATACAGCATAGTGGTTAGATATTGATATAATTTACACAGTGATCCCCCCAGTAAGTCTAACACCTACCTGGCACCATACATAGTGATTACAACATTACTGACTACATTTCCTACGTTGTACTTTACATCCTGTGACTATTTCGTAACTGCCAATTTATACTTCTTAATGCCTTCACCTTTTTTAACCCAATAATGGTTTTCAAATGAACTGGTTTTTCCACACTAATACTCACTTCTTTAATATCTTTTTCTGGAATTCCGTGTATCCTGGCATAGAAATACAAATGTTCTTCCACAGTGACCAGGTCATCTAAAGCATCTTCCTGTGGGCAGTAGCCAACTAACGAGCTGTGAGAGTCCACGTGAGCCAGGGATCTGAATCGAGAGAATCAAAAACACAGATGAGACATTTCCCTCTTAGTCCACAAATTGTGTGAAGGTAGCTATTTTGGTCATGGTGATTGGTGATTCTAATAAAAAGAGATAAAATAATCTCACCATTACAGTTATACTTAAAGGTTTAAAAGTTCCCACTCGCTTGAATAGCTGTTTTTCCCCTAAGGATTTAATAATATAACCACAAAATAACATAAAGCATCTGTTTCAATTATTTTTCTCATTCAGTTTGTTGTGCTCAGTAAGTTGAAGCATTCGTTTTTCATACCCAGTCTTATTTCTGATCAGAATGTTTCCACTTGAAGGAATTATGTCTCCAGTCAACATTTTGAAGATAGTGGTCTTTCCTGCTCCATTCACCCCAAGAAGGCCAAAGCACTGGTTTGGGGGAGAAGAAAAAAAGATGTAAACTGTAATCTAAAGCAAAGACATGTTACTATTGTATCTCTTTCCTCATTGACCATGGGTGAAATCAATTACTAAGAAAAATACATCACTGGAATGACTCGTGAATATTGTGCTCTGTTGGCATCTGATAAAACTTTCTCTTTTAAAATGAATGACCACTTCTATGTCTTTTTCCTCCTTTTAACTACATCTGAAAATTTGTGTGTGTGAGGGTATATGTGTGTGTGTGTGTGTGTGTGGGATTTGTTTTATATCTATTATAGCATACTTCTGTGTGACACGATAAAATCCCTAAGTAAGATACGCTAACCTGACAAAGTAATTATATTTATAGATTTCACATTTTTCACACAAACTTTAATCACAACTTTAAATGAATAAGCTCCTGAAGCAATAATTTCTATATGCTGTTGAATAAATTTGATGCGTTTACTTTGCAGCTCTGCTGGAAAAACTAAGGGAAATACCCACATTCTCTTTCTCCTTTCAAAGCTGCTGTGAACACGGGAAAAATAAATATGGATGCAGTCTAGGACCTCACTTCTAACAACTGATTTCTTTATGCTGTTTTTCAAAGGGGCCTGGAAACTAAAAGTTGAAGAGAGCCCCCTGTACAGGCTTCTTGACTGAAAGTCCACCCCGGGAGGACACTAGTATGGGAAAGGGCTCAGGACTTGGTGTGGGGTGAATCCTCCCTATAAAGAGGAAAGACTTATAGGGTAGGTGACACATGGACACTTGTAAATAATACATAGAGAGAATCCATCAACATATTCAGAGGTTGGCTTTCACATTTCTAAAAAAAAAAAAAAATTAAGATAAAGATGTTTGTCTTTTATCATGCCAATATGAAGGACAGAAACAAAATATGGTTCCTTACCTCCCCAGCGGGTATCCCAATGCTGATGTTGTTTACAGCTATAATTTTTTTGTGGATAAGTTGATAGGTCTTTGTGAGACGATGGAGTTGGACCAGGTCAAATTCATCTGCCCCATTCTCAACTCTCAACCTCTCAGCCCGCACATCTTCATCTTCTTCTATTGTCTCAATTACAGGTGAAGAATTAAATTTTCTGAAGAAGAGTCTAAAAAAATGAACCCAATGATTTGGCGTCAATGATTTCAAAATGGCGCCACTCAATTTTGACATGTTTTAATGGGTCTCGCTTCATTAAAAGTGTACTACCACATACTAGGCTTGTTTTAAATTCATTATACATTATGCTACTCAAATAACTTAAAAATTAGTGTCAATGCTCTTCACCATATTCACTATGATCTTTGGAAAACAGCTTTTGTTTCCAAGCCTTCAATGCTTACAGATCCACTGCTACAATTCAAATTCCTAATTTTAGTAACAAGGAGGTCAGCTTGGGTTTGAAAGTTACTTCCTAACAGAGACCAGAGTTGTAAATAAGATTCAGCACTTACAAGTCCACAGTCAATGATCATCATTTTTAAAACATCCCCCCTATTTCTTCTTTTATCATCAATAGTATAAATGTTATTCTATATTATTTTTACTGTGAATGTCTTACTTAGCATCTATCTGATATATTGAGGTTATCAGCCCTGGAAGCTTGCTGAGTCTCAAACCCACCTCACCATCTTGCCTAACAAATACCAAAGCAAACCAAACCAAGCAAAATGTTAAAACCCAAGAAATCAATTCAGGTCTTCCTCCCAATGTCCCTGTTTCTTTTAATGATATCCCCAGAGATTCCAGCTGTGTTGTTTTCTTTGAATCTTCCCCATGTCAAAATCCACTCATGCAGTCAGTCTGCTAGCACCGGAAATGCCTTATAGTCATACCCAGTCATTGTCATTGATCCTTTTCTGTCTGTTTCTGTTACCATCACAGGCTTTCACTGTTTCTCACCTAGATTTCCCCAGGACCCTCAAACTGCTCCAGTGTCTCTGACTGTTCCATTCCCATCTGTGCTACCTCCATAAAATTACACCTCCTGGGGCATCATTTGATCATGTTGCTCTCTCTTCAAAAACCTTCAATGGACTATTATTTGTTTGTTCAATAAAGTCCAAACCATATCTCTTTAACCAAGCATCCAGTAAACTCCATAATCTCCCACACTTTGGCTCCTACTATTTCATTACATTTATTATATGTTCTAATAAACTATGTTACTAATTTCTCAAATACACCCAAAGATTTTTTTTCTCTATCTTTGCTCTTGTCATCCTTTTTTTAAATTATTAACATTTTATTTTTGATAGGTGATAAAAGCACACCATGTATTAAAATGGTACTATAGAATATATAGTGAAAAATAATCATATACAGTTCTTTTCAGCAAAGGCACACATATTTAGAGATAGCTCATGCATATGTGTGCATAAATAATATACATTTCTTTTCTAACTCAAATGGTAATATACTTTACACACGTAGTTCTAAATCATGCATATTTTACTTAATAAATAGTAGAAGTAATCCCAAATATTGTGTGGAGAACTGTATCATTCTGTCTAATGGCTGCATCGTGTTTAATTTATGAATATATGTATATAATTTATTTAACCAGTCCCTAAATGAAGGCCATTTAGATTGTTTTTATTCTTTTGCTATTAGGAAATGGTTGTTGTGATGAATAATTTTATTCATAGACTATTCTGCATATTTGTAAGCATATCTACAGAAAAAATTCCTAGAAATGGAATTGCTGTGTCAATGGCAGGTGTATTTCTTTTCACTTATGATTATGTCCTCACTTTTTCAATTTTCTTTTCCCCAATCCAATGCTAATATGGTACATGCTCAATCTTCTTTTCCTATTTCTGTTTTCTATTTCTCCAAACTCAAACTCAGCATAAATAAAAACCACATCTTTTGTTTATGTATATATTTTCTCTCTATCACTGAATCTTAATCTCTTTAAGGCTCACAGTTGTGCTTAATTTTACTCTCCAGTCTACAGCCATACTTACAGACACATAGTAAGGTCTGATACTTATTTAGTGAATGAAATGAATGGTGAATTATGCTCCCATTCTTTAAAAATTTTTTTTGAGCACAACATTTCCACACTCATGAAAAAACTTCGGCTATTGACCCCTCCATGAATATTTTGAAATTGAGTTCCACCATGGATGTCAAACACTATGTTTTCATTACACTTACCTGAATTTCTTTATTAGCCACTCATTGATTAAGATTCGCAAGAAAAAGAAAATGGTGCCTTGAGAAACCAAAGCCACAAACATTGCACCTAGTTTATTCATCTCAAAGGTTTCACTTGGGTATTCCACTCCATATGCTTTTAAGAAGTCTAGGACTGACTGTTGTTGAGAAAGTTCAATCAAACCGTAGCCAAAACAGAATTGCGGGAAAATCAGGAAAATGCGCTTGAGGGTTTCCGAAATAAGCTCTAAAGTCTGAAATAAGAGAAATAAAAATGGAGGTCAATGTTAGACTTCCAATAAGTTCACAAAAATTTAAAACTGGACATACACAAATGTTGGAACCTGAGAAGCTTATCTAGATTAACAATGATTTCACACGTATGCTGAATTTACATGTGAATACTATAACTAAATGGTGGTGATTTATTACTAAGATACAAGCAGAGAGGATTGTATTTTTATTGAGATGATCTAAGGTGTCAGGCTAAACCCTGAAGGCAGAACCATTTCTAGATCTGCCTTAGGTCCTAGGAATGTAGGAATAGCCAGGGTGTTGGGGTCTGATATGGGGTATGGGGCTATTGGTAGGTGCCTGAGTAAAGGAGGAATTTAGTACAGTATAATGTTAAAACCTAAGATAATTTCTGCTTGAGGAGGGACTAAAATGGTGAAATGAGATATAAGGAGAGAGACAACCTATCTTAATGAGAAGCAAATGGCTCATTTTCATGTAATTCACACTTGGGGCCAACCACTTGCACCTCATGAATTTTCTTCTTCCTTCTGGAGCGTGCTTGTTTTCTCCTCAGTTCACTTCATTTGCTCCCTATTCTTTTCCATTCAATTTCCTGGCAATGTTAGTGCTTCCCTTCTCACTAATCATAATTGTCAGCTCTGAATGGAAAGTGATGCTTACAATGAAGTAGGCTCCAATACATGATTGAAAGAGAATGAATTAGGTTTTCTCTCTATGAATGTTCAAATGAATCTTAACCCATAGTCATATCCCTAAGCCATTGTGCTTGTCACTACCACACCATAACAATTTGTTATGAGTAAAAAGCTTAGTTGACCAATTGGTTACATGATTTTTGTAGTGCCATACAATATATCTGATTTCACCTCCATCACCCCTCTCAAGCCCTATCCTATATGTCAATAGTTTTGATGCTGGGTATGTGTAATCATAGGCATTAATCCCGATAGAACCAGAAAGAATTTCAAAAGGCTGTAGTTTCTCCTCTACTAAATTTAATAGAATCTAATGAAATTCCTCTTTCCAATTTAGAGAATGCAAAATAGAGAAAATCTTTCCACATTGACTATATTTGAACCATTTGATACATTCACTGAAGTTTAGCAGAGTAATAAAGGGCCTTACCGGATCATTAGGCTTTTCCTTGGAAAGAAAGTACACCACTGACAAGGAAACAATGGAATTGATGCCAAAAAAAAGGTTGAGGCAGACATAAGTGATGAAAGCCATTCCCGTTTCATGGAAGAGCCCGGCCAGCAAGTACATCCAAGAAAATGTGGCATACCTGTATGTTAATAATACTAAGGATTAAAATTATACCTAAGTATTCTCATGTATTAAATACATACATGCATACATACATACATACATATGTACGTACACATATACATATATAAATTAGATTGGGCTCCAAAGTGAAAATAAACACTAGTGATGAGGTGCCAAGCTCTGTAGTTAGATCTCTCTTTTGTTTTATTCTTCTCTTTAACAACAACAATTCAGAGTGTTTTTAAAATGACAGTAAGAAACCTCTCTTTCAAGGAACTTCAAACAGTCCTACATCATTATGATTTCAAGTTAATTCCTCCTAGAGATGGTGTTGCCCTACCTAGGTAAGGCATTTTTTTTTCTCTTCTCAGAAATATGAATTTAATCAATATAAATTTTACAACTTAAAGTTGAGGAAGACTAATGTTATTATTGTAAGTGAGATAAACAGACAGGGCATGCTTAGAAGCTGGATGTCTTGTGTTGAAGAAATACTTGAGCAGCTTTTGGGGCAGTGTAGTAGAACCACAGACAGAGAAATCCTTCATGAGCTACAATTGCTAACTAAACGGGTACTGCCCATACATTCAGGGCAGAAAGAATTGTTACACTGAGGACTGATTATATCAACTGATATTACCTACATTATCCTAATATAGTAACAATATTATGTGTTTGCTTTAGATATTTATAAAAATATAAATAAAAAGCATATATGCCTTATAATGCTATATATACTCATAATTTGTCAATATCCATACATTTATACACATTTTTCTGATCATTCTAGTCATCCCAATAATTATGCAAATTAAATTACATATGTAAATTGTTAAGCATGATACTTGGTATCTAGTAAGTATTCATTAATGGTAGGTATTACTATTGATAACAACATTCCCTTTCAAAAGTATTGGGCTTTACATATATGAACTAGCAAGTGTAATGCATTATAAGTCACCTCTCATGGCTAATGAAACCCCAAGGCAATTGTAAGTAAGCCTATGAGACTTAGGCCCTGTTTGTGCCTTAGAGAATTTAATTCTGTGAATTCTTCTTTCACGGCAGCTTACCCAAACAGCAGGAGTAGGAGAGATACAGCACCCAGGTTGTTTCCGCTGTAGAAGGCAGGTAACTTGAAAATTGCAATGACAGCAATTGAAAATGTTACAGGCACCAAGTAGAAGACCTATGGGAATATGCAAAACAAGGTTTAAAACATGGCAAGTTTTTGTTGTTGTTGTTGTTTTTTAAATAAATCAATTGTCCTTCCAGTTTCGGCTGTAACAAGGTGACCTAGAAATATTTGAAGAAATGAAGTTTTATTTATGTTGCTGTTGTTTGTAATTGTTCAGCTTATTTGACATTGATTTCACTCTAGAATTTGTCTCCTGCAAGATGAGACCAAGTCAGCCTTCCTGCGTACAGGTATACATGGAGCTGCTCGTGTTCCTGCCTCCAGGCTTTCAGGCATGGGATCAATTCAGTGCCAGAGGTTCAGTGAGAAAGATAAGACAGCCAGGTATCTTGGTATTAGATTCAGTCCTCAAAGCATTGATTTCATTTTGAATGCTGGAACTCTCCAGATGGCTGATTTCTAAGGCTTGGTTATCTTGTGAGCCACTTTGTGCAAAACAGCGGGGCAGCGGGTTCCACATCCTTGTAATCACAGGTGTATGGAAGAATTCAGTGTTTCATCGACAAGTGGAAATATTAAGTGCTGAGAGTTTGCAGCAAGATGCACACAATAAAAGATGGTGATTTAATTTGGGGGTCAGGGAGGGAAACTCCTAAATTGGAGTGAACACCGGATATATGACAACAGAATCCAAATAGTAAGTAGCCCTTCACAGAAGCGTGTCCTTTTAAATTTTCTTAATACTAAAGCTCCTATTAAGTCCGGAGGAGTTATTACCATCCTTTTCGATTTGATTTCTAGAACAAATGCATTTCAGACCTCACTGGGTACATTAACAAAATGGATATGCAGTTAATTACTCGCCAATCCTTTAAGCCAATGATCTTTACAGCAACTCAGACGATTTCACCATAATCACCAGGCACAGCATAACCACCCCGGCTTTTGGCCAACGCTGGCACATTTTGAGTTAAGACAAGCCACCTGAACTTTGGGGCCATTTTATGCAAATGAGAGAGCTATCAATAAAATTCATCCTTTATTGTCCCTCCGATGTGTCTGTCATTCATCAGGGGCTGCTACTTTGACATTTTCACTATTATTTGATTACATTTTTCTAAGCGTGATTGTTTGGCACCAATGGGCAAGGCCATTCTGCGAAGCTTCTATTGCTCCACAGTGGTGGTTCTCAGGCTTCAGTGTGCAAAAACAAACGTGGGGGATTTTGCTCAAAATGCATGTTCTCCAGGTTCCTCTCCCAAAATATGGACCTAATAGGTCTGGTATGGGGCCCAGGGATCTGCATTCAACAAATGTCTGGTGGGACCTGATCCAGGTGGTCTTCAGACCACAGTGATGAGGGCAGGTGGATTGCTCTTGCCTTTAAACAGGATGAACATAAATGTGATACAAATTATTTCTTTCTTAATTTACTCATTTTGTGGTAATAATCTGAACTCACTAGCATTAATAAATCTCAAACATAAAACTGATGTCTTCTACTCAAATCGACCCCGTCTTTCCTATAATAACACAAGGTACTCACCATGTCATAAATGAAGTTTGTTACCCAGTAGCATGTTACGCTGATGCCTGAAATATGCTGCAACTGCTTGGCTTTGGTCTGATGCTCCCTTACAACATAGGTGACAAAGCTGGCAGTGGTGACAGAGTAGCCCATCAGGATGGAGAGTGCCACCAAAATATCGATTAAGCTGCTCATTCTATAATGAGCAACAGGGAGAAGAAAGCACACATAAGTTTTTGGAACTCTCTTCCATTCAGAAAGATTCATGACTAAAACCATCAACAAAACAGTATAAGAGTTGGCTGTGACACAAATAAGTCTTCCTACAAGGCAGCCAGATAATATCTTCTCCATGACTCCTCTGTGACCCTAGAATAAATGTAGCTGTAGTACATCTGAATTGGCTAGGGATATTTGATAGAAAAACCTCAGTCTCCATGGGTTGCAGGGTGTATCAAGGGATATTTAGTTCTTGAGCATAGAAATAGTACTTAAATGCTATGCAGGAAAATTGAAATGATGAATGCACTTGACTTATGCACTTGACTTATAAAAGCAGCAGATTCTGTGAATCTACAGTCAACAAGTTCTACTTGGCAACCCCACTGTACACTCTTTCAGAAACTTCCTTTTATCCCAGTGAGTGACATATATTACCAGCTTTTCTAGATTGTCATTCATTCCGATACAACTGTGATTTTCAATTATAGTACTTTATGCAGAGACTCAACTATGCCAAGGAGGAAATAGTCACGTCACGCCAGATATATCTACTTACGTGGCTTGTTCTTGGTCTTGCACTCCGGGGTAAGGATGACTATACATGATGATGCCTTAAAGAAGAGACCGTCCGTTTCATTAGTAAGTATTCAGTCTATCAGAGATACCAAGTTTTAGATGGATTATACACAATACTTGCCTCCTTATGCTATGCTCTACAGGATTTTACTTTGGGGATACTCTCTTTTAAAGGAAAATGATTTTCTCTCAGTCTCATCAATGCTATACAATTGGTGACACTCACATAAAAAGAAAAAAGAGTTTACTCATCATGTATGGAATTTTGAGGGAAAAGGCAAGAATTTACACTTCCTATATAGCATTTTCCTCTCTATTTAAGTAATTATTTTCCACTTTCTCCTCTTTCTCCCCTGCACTTCAGAAATGGATGGCATTTATAGAAGCAACTTAAAAGGAGGCCAATTATAGGAGGCTCTCCTAAAGAACAGACACTTACCACCCCCATTCCTGTTTATTGTGCTGTTGGCTGTTTTGGGAGGAAATACTGTGCCTGAGAAGATCTCTCCTTCTTGTTTACTATTCCTAAGGTACCTATTGTTCTCAAGTTCCACCACAGCAGGGCTTGGAGCTTCAGCCACTGAGACATAAAGACCCAGGAGAATCCAGAAAAGTGGTTACTTAATTCCAACACAGTCCTAAACTATCGGGGTCTCCCAGAGTTGGTTATCCTTTCTGAGTTAGAAGCAAGGTCATTTCCCTGCCTCCTTCCTTAGAGGATGTTGGTTAGCCAGAGTCAAAATAGGCTGGCGACAGTTTCCCAAAGGACCACGGTATGAAGGCAAAGTCTATACGAATGAAGGCAAAGTGGAAGGAATACACCCCTTACATGTTTGTTGCTATCAAGTCATTAGTTGAGGGAGAGTTTATCTACTGCTCATATAGCATATGTTCATTATATTAAGATAATAAGGCCCTTTCACGACAGTCACATATTATAGAATTATTCTAAAGTTATATTCTCTCCATTAATTCAAAATTATAATTTTTATAAAGGAGAACATGACGTGTTTTGAAGTTGAATTTATTCTGCAACTGTTATATGTTAAAGAAATAAGTATATTGTTAAAGCCAAACAAAGAAACTAACAACAATAATAACCAGCTTGGCCTAGAATTTTAATCACATCGTTGGAAGAGTGAACTTATCTTTTTTTTTTTTAGAAATTAATGGGCTCTTTTTTTACTGAGATTCAGTTTTCCTTGGGAACCTACGTAAACCTTGTTGCTGAATTACAATATAGGCAGGGGGAAAACCTTTTTTTAAATTTCTGCTTTGTGTTTGAGGAAACTTTGCAAAAACATTTAGTTCATTATAGAATACATTATAAAAGTTGGTGCTGAACCAATTGTTTTCATACATGTCTTTGGCTGAAAGATCAAGTAAATGTGTCAGAGTTATGGGTCTATATCAAAATCTTCTCTGTGGGTTCTACAGCATCCACATAATGATTGCAGTACAGTGATTGATTACTGAATAATTATTTAATCTAGTAGAGTCTTAAAATTTCAATTATTTCCCCATATACAATGCACACTAAAAGTAACACATTTTATATTATCTGTACAATGGTAAACTTAAAATGAGATACTTCCCATAGACTGCTGTTACTAATGCAATAAAGGATCAGAATAAACACTAGGGTGAAGGGAACAATGTGTCATTTATTCTGAAAAAGAGCCTAGTTGTATAATACTTGTTAGTAAAAACAAGCAAACCTATATTCTTTGGGAAGAAAGAAAAAGATTTTCATGTTAAATTAACCATGAGGGGAAACTACATGAATACTATAAATATTAACATTGCAAAGGAAAGCTAATTAAAAAAAATTGTAATAGCATGTGAGAATTCAAACAAAATCAATTTTCCAGCTAAAGCAAAACCCTAGCTCATGTAGAATTCAACAAAGATGGTTTAAAACAGCTAGTCTAGTAGGGGGAGATGGCAAAAGAATAGTTGAGTTGATTTTTAAAGACAATATTATCATGGTAGACCCCATACATCTATTACAAAACAATCCAAGTATTTCAAGGTAACACGGATTGCTTCTTTGAAAGGAATCAAACTCTTTCCAGAGAGGGTGGAAGGCTGCCACTGTCATAAATCTATACACGAAAAGTTAATTAAAAATAGAAGGGACACTACTAGTAATCTCTATATTACTCAAGCTGAGCCTTATTTTTAGGGTCAAAATGTAGTTTATGTTCCAGAATTATTAATTCTTTATACTCTGTAACTTAAAAATACGATGTTGGGAGTCACAACTAGAGTAGCCTGCTGGAGTCCAGAGTGATTGAAATTACTTAGTTCTTGGTAAAGAACACTAACAATCAGTGAAATCTGAATATAGGTTTCAAAAGCTGACCCTTCAAAAGTGACATTGGGCTCTTGTTCTCACCCGCATACCTTTGCTACATTTCCCCCTAGTCATTTCTATACTTTTTGTACTTTTATTATTTGTCGCAGCAACAAATGTCTTTTGCTGCGACAACATCCTGTGAAACATCACGTGTTCAACCGTATTTCAAACCAGGATCTACTAGGCCCACCTGGCTTTAGTCACCATTTAACTTAATTTACCACTTTGACCATGCCCTTCATTAATGCTCTAGAGTAGCAGTTCTCAACCTTCCTAATGTCGCGACCCCTTCATACAGTTCCTCATGTTGTGGTGACGCCCAATCATCAAATTATTTTCGTTGCTACTCTATAACTGTAGTTTTGCTACTGTTATGAATCATAATGTAAATATCTTTTTGTTTTCTGATGGTCGTAGGCGACCCCTGTGAAAGGGTCATTCGACCCCCAAAGGGGTCGTGACCCACAGGTTGAGAACCGCTGCTCTAGATCTAAGGACTATATATAAATCTTGGTGTTTTTTCTATGGTTCCTCCTGCTAGAAAAATGCCAGAGCAGTTGAGGAAAAAAATACTATTTTTCTCTGAAATGGAGACTCCAAAAGGTTCTGTTTGTAGAAAGAGTACTTGACTCCCCAGTGTGCTGGTACAATCACCCGCACAGCCAGCATACATTATTGTGCTCAACAGCAGGGAGATGAAAGCAAAGTAGGCCTCAGCATTTCTCAAAGATCGGTTGTGTCTTTCTTTCCTACTTGATAGGTTATTTGTTAGCCCACTTAGCAGACTAGAAATTCAGTCTTGGCCAGCAAATATGTTACTCAGTTTTTTTCTTTTCTCATCTTTAATATATATATTTTTTAGGATCAATATGGGAAAATAATTTGAGCAAGGCTTAAGAAGATGCAATGATCTGATGGGCAGTCATTGAATTAGAAAAAAGAAAATCAGCCTCTTTCAACTTCTGAACCTTATTTTTAAAATTATGTGGAAGCCTCTTGGGAAATCCAAGTGAAATGGATCTGGCTGAGTATAGAGAAGTGATACAAAAATAAAGTGCAGAGTATTAGAAAAATGGAGAGGCAGGAGTCAGGCAGACCTGGGTTCAAATCCCACTTCTGAGCCCCTGAGAAATAATAACAGAGCACAATAATACTCATCCTGAAAGGGTGCTTGTAAGGATTAGCCATATTTTATTAAAAAAACATGTGTCATATTGTAAGTGCTCAATTAACGGTAACACTTTTGGTCAGATAGATAACTTTTTAGTTTAAAAGTTTTTTTGTCTTTATGTTTAGATTTGTGCACAATATCTATTGATACTAGTTTTTTAAGCCTATAGACAAGTAAATAGCTATAAAATATTTTCCTTGGAGATATAACTGAGGTATGAGAGCAGAAATAAGCACGAAGTCAGCCTTACTATCCTGAATTGATAAAGGAAGAATCTAAATTAACCTGAAGTGAAGAGGGTTATCCCAAATGTTTTATCTGGTGGGAGTTTGGAAGTGGTAACTTCCAAAATACTTTTAAAGAAATGTGGTTTAGGTACCACAGAATACCTGCCACTGGGAGGAAATGGGACCTAACGTGCATTTTTATATGGAGAGTAGCAGAAGTTGTAATACAAGAAGCTCTGTGTAAGAAACTTTACCGTGTTGGGCAGCATCATATTTTGACATGTTAACTCGCAGGAGGAAGTTATTCAAGCTGTTGAGGTAAGCTGGAAGGGAGTGATAGCCTTCTGGATCGTACCACACCTGTTTAATCCCAAAAGAAGGCAAGATCAGAATTGTGTTGATATAAATTAGGCTGTCTTTATATTGGACAGCCTACAGAAGTTATATTTAAAATAAGAGCACCAATTTCCCAGTAACTTATTTCATCTTG